GCACCATTGCACCAACCCCCCACTAGTGATGACGTACCATTACAATGTATCGCTGGTTGGTGGCCATGTTTGCGTGTTTGCTTGTTCGTTAGTGGTCTCTCCACCGCGTGCCTTTTTCTGTCACTTTTTTCTTGTTCTTTTCGGCCTGGTCCTTTTTTGTCCTCGCTCATTTTCATTATATTTTATCTCTACTGTTTCCTTTTGTTTTCTTCTCTTTTCTCTTTTCTCTTTTTCTCTCTTTTTCTCTCCTTTGTTCTCTCTTTTTCTGTGCCAGATGGTCTTGGCTCTGCTTGCATTGTGAAGTACCAAGATTGAACCGGGGGTGTACCTCATTCTCTCCGGCCCGTGATGGTGACTCCTAGTCTCAGTTATTACCTCGCATAGCGCGCAGAGGGAGTGGAGGACTCCAGAATATCTGTCGTTGATTATTATTGACTTGCGGAGCCCTCGAGGCCAGTATATTTGTGTGTACCCTTTTAGGGTAAGGTAGCCTGTGACCACGGGAATCGACCGCGTCGAGTGTTGGATCAGTACGGACGTACGAAAGTACTGGGTAGAGAGAGATCGGAACGGTTTTTGATGTGAAGACAACAACAACAACATCATGGTCGGCATGTAGGCCTTAACACAAAGGCAGCCCGATCATCCGAAAACGTGCTGGCGGTTTTTTGAGTCTTCTTCACTTGGTGCGTATGTTGAATAGCTCCAAACCTCCTCCGGTATTTATGAGGGAGTCCGAGTCCTGCTTCTCGCCCTTGCCGGTTGTGGATCCGCGGTCCAGACGGCCCGGATCGTCCCGACAGCCCTGACGACCTCGACGATTCCGACCGTCCCTACTGTCCTGATACCCATTCATGTGCCTTGCTGCATGCTCCCTACAACACACGGGGTATCAGTTTGGGCCAACAATCGACGGGGGGGAAGCACTGTAAGCGGTCAGTACCCTGGAGAGGGATACTGAGCAAGAACATGGAATGGCAAACGGTCAAGGGCGAGTGGAAACATGAACTGAGGAACCTGCATGAAAAATGTGCTGTTGGGAATACGATTTCGTCTACCGTATATCGAGGGGTTTGCACGCTCCAATGGGGGAGCGGAATAGAACCGCTAGATCACCATGTCATCGTTAGGGGCTCCCGCAATCGGGGGGATTGTGCGTTATCCCGGCACACAAATATGGCCGCATCGAACCGTGTTTCATGCACTATCTTCACCATACCGGAGGAGCAAACCCCGGACACACAAGTAACGGGAACATGGTTCATTGAACCCATTTGATGCGGCCGCGAACGTACCAAAAGCGCCCGCGCAGGTCGACGTGGCGCGGTCGTATCCACGTGAGACGAGCATTGTAACCTTTGCAGCCGCGGGTAGGTCCGTTCCTCGAGCCCATTTACAACAAAATCTGTTACTTCATTTCTATAGCATCTCCTTGTGGGTTTCCCTCGTTTCAAGTATAGCGTGTTTTTAGGAGCTAGTCTTACCACTTAGCATAAAATGCGATAGGTGGATACTTTATATGCCTGTAGACAGACATAGATGCCCATTGAACACACAGCCAAACAGTCCGAAGGTACCTACAGTTGCCGGGTGCTGTTGGGAATGCGAGTTGAACAAAAGTATATCGATGGTTTGGCACACCCCATAGGGAGCTGTAGTTGGTCCTCGCATATTGTCAATCGGGTACCGCGCAGTTGGGAGAGTGTGCTGCCCCCCCGGCACAAAATTTGACTGCATCAAATGCGAATTTCATGAACCGTCCTTACTGCTGCCCGTGTACATCTATTGGCTGCTCGGAGGCGACACCATACATACCGGTGGAGCAAACCGGGCACACAACGAGCGGGAACACGGTTCATTGAAACCGTTTGATGCGGCCAGGAACGCACCAAAAACGTCTGCGCTGTCGGTGTTAGGGGCTGGTATTTACGTGCATGGAGTAGCCTTCGCAGACGTAGGTAGGTCGTTTCCTCGTGCCCATTCACAAACATTATATGATACTTCATACTTCAATGTGGAATCTACATGTCTCTCGTTTCAAGTACCGCGTGGGGTTCGGAGCTTATCTCCCACAGCATTTAGCATACAATGCTGCAACCATTAGAAACGCGATCAATGTCTAGACTGATATAGATACATACCCGGCGGACAAACATAAAAACAATCCGGTCACAATATCAAGAACATACCATCGAAAACGTAACGATGATGGATGAACAAGAGCATCTACCATTGCAACTACGAAATAATCCTGTTCACTCCTACAATAATTTTGTACCGTCGAAGACGTTATCGTGATGTACGAACCCCAAAAACTACTCATTGAACCCAAAACAAAACACTCCGGCTAACAACGTAAAGAATATACAATCGAAAACCTACGTGTGGGGGATGGACACGAGCACTACCATCGAACAAACAACGAAACAATCCGGCTCCCTATATTAAATATGTACCATCGGAAAACCGTAAAGGTGATTGTGGAAAAACACTAACACCGACTTGAGGTAGGGAAACATTCCAAGCAGTTTTTCGTTTATTTTTTTTGGCCAACCATTATTGTGTATGTGTGTGTGTGTGTGTGTGTTTTTATTATTATCATGTGTGTGTGTTTTCGTCCTATTTATTATGGCGACAGTCCCCCCTTTTTTCGTGGTGAGACGTGTACTACACTTTTCAGTGTATTTTTTCGTACAACAACAACCATCCAGGGTCACACAGGAGGGGGTAAACACCAGGGCTTTCTTTATTTTTTTTATTTCTTTTCATGCCCCACCTTCCTCCTGCGGTGCGTGCTGAATTTTTTTTTTATCGCGAGAAGGTTCCAGCCGTCCCTTTCCCTCGTCAACGGTGCTAACGTCGAAGTTTGGTACTCACGAAAGCTTGTCAGCTATATTTCGCTTTCACCGCAAATTTCGTAAATTTTTCACCCCATGGGGATTCGAACTCACGACCTCTGCGACTAGCGGATGACGAGGATACCACAAGACCACCGGGGCGACCGGTAACCATTGTTCGACGGTAAGACCCATTTCGTCCGTCGTGAGGTACAGGGTATCGGCATGGCTCATTGGTGTTACGAAATTCAAGTCAGGACATGTCTCAGTAGTGTTGGTAAACGTCGCGAATGCCGCGATACAGAAATACAGCTTCACCACCTTACCGTTTCCGGAAGACTGAAGCATTTTTGGGTCGGGTCAGGTCGGGTCAGGTCACCAGTTTCAAAACTCTTTCGTGGGTCAAAAATCGAATCGTATCACCGGTTGCAAGTTTCTCATAGACAGGATCGGATCGAGTAACTAATCCATTTTACGCTCTCCATGGTCGTCGGACTGAGTCATCAGTGACACAGTTGGGTCAGATCTAGTCACCAGTTGCAAAGATTTCTAGGTCGAATCGGGTCGGGTCAGGTCAAAGTCTTGCCATGCTCACAATGCTCGCGGGTTGCGTCAGACTGAGCCACCAGTTCAATCGAATGCCCTGTTGAGCACAACCTCCACAGGTCGGATCGGGTCACCAGTTTCAAAACTCTTTCATCATGGGTCAAAGGTCGGAACATACCACCGGTTGTTCTACATTTCTCTTTGGCAGGATCGGATCGAGTCACTATTATTCCATACGCCCTCTATGGTCGTGTCGGACTGAGTCATCAGTGACACAGTCTTGCTGTTTGGGTCGGGTCGAGTCACCAGCTGCGAAGAGTCTTCAAGTTTAGGTCTGACACTTGACAAGGAAGCGGCTGGCTCCCCGTCGTGTCGCACTGAGTCATCGTGACTCTAGCCTTTCGTACTAGATTACAATAGAAATTACAGAACACATCTTTTCTGATACACGTTATTTCCACACAGAATGAAGCTGTTTTTTACGTGCTATGCGATACCTTGCGTTTGTATTGCTGTGAGCGTGAAGACGCGACTGTAACGAGACTGTCGAGACCGAGAAGAGTAAGGCAGAAACAGTTAGCACTCGTGCAAGCTCGACGAGTGGTAAGATACGGCCGGGACCACGTTTAGGTTGCAACCTATCAGACACCATCAAACCTTCCATCCAGAGATGTACATCGCGTTGTTTTTCCATTGCCGACAGCTTCACTGACACATGTTCCGTGACCTTCATGGATTGCTGAACCCTCCCGAAACCCCTCCCGAAACCCCTCTACCACTACGCCAACACTTGCTCCAATGCACACACAGCCGTGATCGACGTACAACCATTCTTCCGCGAACATCCGACCATCTTACTCGCACAATCACCCAGTTGAAACCTCTACGAAATGTCCAAAGCATCAACATTTATGGAACCCAAACCTCATCTACTCTTATCATATGTAGCTTGCCTGAACGCCTTGGCACGCTTTTCATCATTGGCCGTGTAGGTTGAGGATATAGTCTCCACGAAGCCGTTTGCGGCCTCGAAGATAGCATCTGCTTGGGAGGTGCACCCCCCGAGAAGCAAGAGCAGCGGGAGAAAAATCATTCCACGGTGAATCCATGTGGATTGGCAAAAGTCACTTCGTACCCGACAGGCATCTTCGACGCCCAGAACGCGGAAAAGCAAGCAATCTCAAGGATTCGCTCTAACGTGGGCACGATGATATAGACAGCTCCCAGATACGCCGTTGTCGGTTCCGCATAACTGAACAGCCGATCCATTGTATGGAGGGAGGAAAGTATACCAACAACGAGCGCATTTGAACTTGAACCCTTGTAATACTCACACCTGAAGCACACTTGTTAGCAGATAATATGGGAAAATATCTTCTTGGATACACACCTGGTTGTATTCCCTTTGAAGAGATGGCTTTCAGGCAGGCCGACATGCACTCGCGTTTAGCCGACTCAAGCTGTTGTTTCGACGCGTTGGAGGCCGCTTCTTTGTCTACCTCATTTGTACACTTTCTCACTGACCTGGCGCTTAGAAATACAGCACGGTTTGAAGCACGAGAAGCACGACGTATGATACAAAAAACAGGTGAGGTTCCGAAAACACCCAGACAATCAAAGAGTGGTATTGCGGACGATAGTCGTCTCAGTACCATCGCAAGTATTTCAGTGTACTCGTGGATTTCGTGGTCCTCCGGCTGATGATCCGGTAAACACAAGCCCGTATTTCGTAACGCATTGCACGGGTGTGGGTTGCTCATGCTCTAGGAGGTAGCACAGCTACTTCACGATTTCATCAGTGTTCTGTCCGTTTCATGGTCAGCCGGAAACTCTCATCCCTCCGCGGCCGCTACACATTGCTCGGCAGAACGTTGTCGTCTGTGATTGGTGATTCCTCATCATTCAACAGGGAGCGACTGGGAGATGACCGAATTGTGGGTCGTTTGAATGCGGTATGTCCAGAATACCCATCCCGTCATACATCGTTCGTTTGCCCCCTGCTGTACCAGTGCAATGCTTTTGTCAGGTTGCGCGCACTTGATGGCATGTTGTAGCTGACCCAGGTGTTGGAGGGCCTCAGCATCCAAACGTCCGGAGTGTGATCTGTTCGCGTATGGGTATTTCTTGCAGACATGTGCAATACTGTCCATCTGTTCCGAGTCCCAGGGAGAAATGGACTGTCCTGCTCGCCGAACAATGGATGTGGAATGGTTACATGTCTGGGTGAACGTTGAGTCCGGGATTGAGGCCAGTAGGTGTGGAAGATTACGAGATGATTTTTCACACCTACTGGCCTTAATCCCGGACTCAACGTTCACCCAGACACGTAACCATTCCACATCTGTTGTTCGGCGAGCAGGACAGTCCATTACTCCCTGGGACTCGGGCAAGATGGGCACCATTGCACACGTCTGTAAGAAATCCCACGCGCGAACAGATCACACTCCGGACGTTTGGATGCAGAGGCCCTCCAAAACCTGGGTCAGCTACAACATGCCATCAAGTGCGCGCAACCTGACAAAAGCATTGCACTGATAATGAGCCGCGGAGCGGGAAGCGCGACCGTTGTTTTGCCTGCGTCCGAGGAAGAACAAACAGGCTCTATCTACCAGGGGCCCAAGTTTCAATATACGACCGCCTGAATCCATCATTTTCGACCAGCACGAGCTCAATACAGCACCGATTGATGATCCGTTGGCTTGTGAGGAACAAACAAAAAAGGGCTCTCTTCACCACACCGGCTTGGTCGTGCTCCGATAGCAGATGGCCGTGCTTCACCGGCATTCGTACCCAAAAACCATAAAAGATTATCACCCCGATCCCCGCGGAGTTGTAGAGGAAATTCAGGCCAAGGCATCGTAGATCTCCCACCCAGACACACGAAGTTGCTTGGTTCACACCACGAGAAAAAAAAAGAAGCACTCAGCGAAACACGCAACACCGCCGGGATTGCCAAAACAGCACCAGCGGGGGAAGGCAGCCACACACAGGGCTAGAGGCGGATGCATTGTCATTGCTGTTGCTTCAAGGGCTCATCAGTAAAAACCCAATCTTGGCCTGGGAAAAAATACAAACTGATCCCAGCAGACGCGGCGGGTTTTTTTCGGGCTCTCCCACTCTCGGGCTCGCAAATTCTGAAGGTCCTAGGTCCTCCTGGTCTGTATCAATCACTACACAAGGCGGAGCATGGCCACAGCTCGTGGCAGATACCTTTGTTATTACTTTTGCTTCGGTGTGCGGGGAGGGGTCACCTTGAAAAAACAAGCTGTGCCATGGGAAAAAATACTCAAGTAAAATAGGCTTTTCTTCGGGCGGGATGTTTTTGTTTGCATATGCCCATGTTGTGTGAGCTCCAGCGTCCAAAGAGCGTTGTCAACCGCATGTACTAGATAGTAGGGGTGACATCAGAGAGGAAGAGGAGGAGAAAAGAAGAGTGCCTGGCCACAACCAGTCGAAAGGGGGGGGCGCAACTCGTATCCCAAAGTCCCTCCTATCATGTTCCTCATTGTCATTCCCATCTGCGATATACAAAACCGCCAGTATCGGTACAATCCGACCAATCTACCTCCATTCACTGCTGTGTGTTTTCTCATCGCCTCCAATTTCCGTGGGTCCCATGGCCCCGTGGCCTCTATCAGCCGCCACACAAGACGTGGCATAAACACAGGTCGCGGGAAAAAGTTTTACAAGTGGTGCTGCGACACTCTGTGCAGAGAAACCACCGAAGGACCAAATCGATACGGAACGCACGTATGGCACACATGTCTACCGTCGGTGACATAAGACACCACACCCCCTGCTTTTGAGCTCGAGTATTCCACGACGAAGAGGGCGGGTTCACCCAGCGAGACGTTGTCGGAAAGCTCTCAGCGAGATGGTTCCCACGCCACCATTTCCGGCACCGCCACTCTTTGTGGAATGGAGCAACCGAGCTGCGAAAGTTGGTCCAGGGTCTGATATTTTGTGTCATCTACGGTATATTGCTGTATGCGCACGAATCCCAAAGGCCGTCCGTTTATTGCAGGGGAGGAATAGCCTCTTTCTATGTGTATTGATGTTGTCATTGATGATGATGAGTCGGATTCAAAATTCAACGGTCGGGTGCACTGGCCACCGCGAAAGCATCGCAGATAGACTCCTGAAGAGTATTGTGTCGGCTACCCCGAGGTTCATTACCCCGCCCTGTCTAGTACAACAGGGGGCACCAGTAGGTGTGAAATTACATGGGCGAGCTCCAACTACTGATTATTGGCATCCTACAGGTTGTCCTTGAATGTGAACGCTATATCACGGCTGCCGTGACGTGACCATCCCCGGCACCATGCTGTACGAATAGATGATAAGAAATAGCCTAGATGTGCTAGCGCCCCTATAAAAACCATTAACCCTTTTGGGTCTTCCGGCGTTCTGAGATCATGGATAGATCATTCGCATATGCTGGTGTGTGGGCATGCCATGGAGTGGCCGCCCGGTATCCCTTCACGGTAGGTGCTGGCACGTCCATAGGTATGCATAGACAGGTGTGTCTTAATTACTAGGATCGACCGAGGTCACCGGTGACCAATGAAAGGACGTCAGTGCCAGCGGGAAAATCAAGGTCCCTGGCAGGGTAAGTGTACAAAAATGCGGAAATGTGAATTACGCAAAATGCGAATGCCAGAGTGCATCCCTCGAACTAAATATCCTTT